TAAATAAAACCAAATTTCGAGAATTCGTCATACCATTCAAACATTAATTGTTTGCGTAAAAACTTAGTGCATTTTCAAAAATAAATTAAAAGTAACCAGCGAAATATTATTTTTATTTTCTCGGAAATCATATACAGACATTTTAAATTTTCTAATGTCTTTTTTTTTAAAGGTTAAATAAATGATTCATTTTCAATGGACAATCTTATAACGAGGCAACAATGCAGTTTTCATTTTCTACTAATCATAGATACGTATAAACAGTCGAATTAAGTAAATTTACATTAGTTTTTTAAACTTTACTCCTAGTTTTACAAAGCTCGGTCAAATGAAAAACATTAACACAGTTGAGCTTATAGAGGAACAAGCATGGTATTTAAGTTTTATTAATACCTTGCTTCTGTTGGTTACACTAGCTTGTGAATGGGATCATATTTTGTTTCAGAAATGATACTGTCTGTGCATCTGGTAAGGTTAAACACAAAATGTACGGATTTTAAACAATTGCTTGTGTTATATATAATATATATGTGCTTAGTCCCTAATGACGTAACTAAATATTATTATTTAACCGGACACATTTTTCAAATAAAATGATACATATAGTTGTGATCAATTTGTTAAAGGTTACTCTTACTCTTGCGTTTAATATGATAAAGAACTTTTCTTAACTCCCCTCTTGAATCAGAATGGAGAGAAAACTTGTGTAGCAAAAATATTCGAAAAGATGAGACAACATGAAATTGTTTAGGTCGTTAATGTCTTGTCTACGAAGCGTAAATAAATAAGATCATTATTCGACTTCAAATTGCTAGTCTTTCTTGATCGGTGCACTTTTATTACATTTGCGGTCCTAAAAGAGGTCTAGAAGTTGATATATTCGTTTACAGGTCTTCCAATAGTGTCTGCTACTGCTAATCTTTAAAACCGGCTAAATTTGACAAATTACAGACCTAAAGTAAAATCGTCTGAAATACAAGATATTTTTAGCTAAACCTCTATTGCTGAGGTGCTATATTATAACTTAAGTCCTACAGTGTCACTGGCCGCAATAAGCGTGTTTCAGAGCACAGTGTGACAGCTACAATTACGATCTGAATTTTACATTTTAAAACATGATCCAAATGTAAATTTTTTACAGGCTTAGGTACTAATAAATGGGCTGTTACAGGTTCTTTGAGCATTATACAGGTTTTAATTATTAAGCTTCTGAAAAACAGGCTTTAAGTGTTTGCTGGGAGGCCTACATTTATTGTTTGATTTGAAGGCTTTTGGTATGCGGTAATCTAAGTTCTAATATTTGACATGAAGCCTCACAACTGTATGCTAAAGTTCCATTTTGTGTTTTAAGAACTTATGAGTGAAAGCAATGTAGAATATGTTACATTAACCATGCTAAACCTGCCATACTCAGTGCTGACAGGCCTTTTACCCAATACAATTCATTAGGTTGGCTGGAACACGACAAAGACTACAGCGTTTCTAGATAATCAGCCTCGATGAACAATGGCTGTTATAATGTGAACTAGTTTAAGAAATTATATAGTTATAGGCACTGTAGCTGAATAATAATGTGATCACAGTAAAATTCTTTACTCTTAGTTCCAATCGTTTCTAAGTTGAATAAGTTCAACATAATCAAGAATTATTGGAGGAGTGATGTATTTTAAACTGTCATGAACTGACATGTTCATTTTGGCCCAAATATTTTTATCCAAGTTCCTTAATGTATAAAAACCTTTAACTCAGAAAAGATAAGAACGGCATTATTTTCTGTTTTCACTTGCAACAAGAAAGGGTTCTAATATTTCATGGTTTTCCGTTTTTTGCTACTAAATTATAACTATTGTTAGCTGTCAATAATGATAATTTCAAATTGATTACAAAAACTTGTTATAGGAAAGATTTAAATCTGCACCTTTGTTTGAAACAAAAATCTGCCTTCCAGTTTTGTAAAGAAAATATTCACATTCTGATATTCCTGTTATGAGATTAAATGTTTAAGTTAGTACAAAATCAAAATGGTACCAGTATACTGATATAACCTACTTCTAGGTTAGGCTATTTCAGTAAATTGAACTACTAATAATACTCTGCCACAAAGTTAGATTGAAATTCTGTGCTAAACTAATCCACTAGCCCAGAAATATGTCCTGTGAGCTGAACTCTATTAAAAATCTTGTGACTTTCTACCGAATTGCTTTGCTAAAGTCATATTGGGTTCATAAACATTGAAATATTTCACAACTAAGCCAGGTTGAGATTTTGTAAACTAATATACTTTGCACGAAGGTCTTGTATTGTTTATTATAATGAACTGCTTCACTATGGAGTCAGATTAATTATGTTGTACTGAGCTACTCTGCTAGAAATCCAGGGTATACATAAATTGTAGCTTTCTTTTAACTCAAATAACGAGAATATGGTGTGAAGATATAAACAAGATATAAATTTGAATTTTAAAGTGTTAAAATATCTAACTCAAAAATCATATGAAACAATCAGTTAAAGCTGTAGACTTGTATGTATAATATGTTGTATTGTGTGTATACTGAGAAAAAAATATATTCAACATTTACTAAAAATGAATTTTTTGAATTGGTTTATCCACATAGCCAACAAAACATGAACAAAATTATTAGATATTTGATTCATAATCATTGATGCTTGTTTCATAATACACCTAAAGAAATGTATACAAAAACAAACTGAGTTCTAATTGATTTTTAATATCACAGATAATTTGGACTTCACTTGAAATTCTGAATTGCAGTATTATACATCCTTATATTACTTCATCAGATGAGCTGAGGTTAATTTTCTAATTTTTCTAGTTTGACTATCCAAAATTACCAGGAAAGGTTGAAAGGTCCATGTTTATATTATCCTCAAATTCCTTAGAACAGAGCACACTTTTTTAGTGTTTTACTGTCTACTGGTTATATTCTAAGATAAATTAATTTCCAATAAACCAAAGAAAAAACGTCTTTCTTTCTATCAAAGCAAAACTGACACATGTATAAATAAAACAGATAAATGTTGAAACAACCACATAAATGCAGCACAGTATTTATACTTGACATTTATAAAGTTACATCTCATCTTCTTCAGGTACATCTCTTCCACAAAATAAAACCATATTTAACAAAATACTGAAGGCAACAATGCTGGATATGTATGCATTTCTTCTGAACCTTTTTTTTTTATCCTCACTTGGGTTTTAAGTTGTCAGTTCATAAACTCATTAGAAACACTATGATTATATAATCTTCACCAGCAAAGACATGTATATGGTTACTGACTTGTCCTTCACTCACCACCGTGGTGAGTAACAGAAAACTCACAATGCATACAACTTACAGATCAAAGATACAAGATGCTCAATTTGTGTCTTTTGATTTGCTCTAATCCAAGTTAACTGAAGAGGGATCCAAAGCTGTTCTAGTGCAAAAACAAATGGCAAACTGCATGACAGACTAGCTTTCGTATTTCTTTCTCACCAAAGTTTTTAGTGAAAAGACGATACATTAAGTACAAGATAAGCACGTTTTGTATAATGAAAAGACAGATAGTATGTATTTATAACATCAATTAAATCAGAATGCCTTTTTTACATTTGAGTTATATGAGGTTGTTACTAAATGTTAAAAAAAATTATTTCACAACATTAAACATTAATTTATATAAGATAAACAAATTTTGTATAATAAAAAGACAAATAGTATGTATTTATAACTTCAAAGCTAACATCAGTTAAATCAGAATGCCTTTTTTACATCTGAGTTATACGAGGTTGTTACTAAATGTTAAAAAAAAATTCTTTCACAAGTTCTTTTAAACATTAATTTATATCATAAAAACATTTCTAATGAAGTATATTTTATTTCATTTTTTACATGTGGGTATATTTAAAATACATATAAACATACTGAATCACCAAACCCAAATTGTAAAATGGAATATCTTTATAACTTATTTAACAATTGTATTGGAATATGAAATAGATAGCATTACTAATAAAATGGTATAGCTATATCATCTTTTACCTTTTACTTTTGGGGGATTAACCCACTGAAAGTGATTACATTTTGCTTCTGGGTTTTCTGCTCGACCCTCTGGATGGGCACAGGTGAAAAACTGTCGCCCATTATTTGGTCCCTGTTTCTTAACAGTTTTCAACACACAAGGTTCTTTGTGACCTTTGCAAAGAGGAGGTGGTTGAGGACCACACAGTACAGATTTCCACAACTGTTTCTGTTTTTCCATTTGATTGTTGATATGGTACTCTTGACACTGATTATTTTTTGTAGTATTTAGAGTGAAAGAAGGATTCTGATATTGCTCATCAGTTTCTTCTAAAACACAGTATGTGCTTTTCTGAAGAAAATTTTTGGTGATATTTTCACACTTTAATGAAAAAGATTTTGTACTACTTTGGCTGGACAAATTTCCATCTGAATTGCAGTCACTTTCTGCATCATGTGAGCAGATCATGCTTGTCTCCGAGCTGCCACTTGGAATAATATTCACAGATTTCTCGTCATCACTAACACATGCTGTATGGCTGAACAGCATATGAGGATTACTGTAACAAGATGAAGCACTATTTTTGCTCGAGTAATGGTGATCTATGGTGGTAAAAATGTTCAAATTACTATTGGTAGAGTTATCTACAGAGTCTAAAATACCTTGTTTAGAGGGAATTGTTGTTTGTAGTGTGGAAGTCTGAGGAACAAAAAAACTAGTTATCGATTTTTGACTAATTTTTTGAACATTTTGTTTCTTCTTTGAAACAGTTTCAGAATGACTGTTGGCCCTTCTTTTTGGAATATAAGAGTTAACTGGTTGGAAATCTGTAATCTGTGCTGTCACCTGCACTGGTTGTCTTAAGAATAGTGACAATTTCTGTTGCTTACCAACAAATTCAAGCCAGTATTTAGTACAAAGAGAGGGACAACGTCTAGAAGCCACAGGATCACACCGTAGTTCTATTGCTATGGGGCAATGGTCAGAGCCTTTAATTTCAGGAAGAATGATACTACTCATTACATGACTAATGAAGTTTCTGTTACATAAAATATAGTCTAGACGAGTTCCATAATTTGTTTGTCGAGCACCAGTTGAAGTCATCCAGCAAGTAAAAGCTTCTGTGTGGGACTTATTGAAGTGTCGGAATGTGTCAATGAAGGTAATGTCTGAAAAAAAAAATTGCAAGTTCTTAAAATAAGTTATTGTAAATACATTACAAAAGCAATGTTAAAAAAGCTAAACTCTTCCAAGAGCACAAACATTTAAATGAGTGAGTAATGGACACTGAATATATATACAAAATCTGACAAAATACATTGATTATATTGTTAATTTTTTTTCCAGAAGATTTTGCTTGTCAGTGTACCATTACTCATTTCCTAAATATAATTGTTTACATGTAGCTGAATGAATAACTTGGTACTCTCAAAGAACTTTATCATGTCCAGCCGTGAAACTTCAAAATCAAGATTTACAGCACAGATAAAATCATGGACAGAATGTTACTACACTTTAGAGTGATGCCCAAGAACATTATTTTCTAAAAAGAGTAGGTAGCATCCTGTAAGCTATTCTGTGTAAAATATAACAATTATTGTGCATTTTTTGAAATAAAAATGTAATTCTCTTTTTGTTTATGATTCATTTCCAACTCAATAAAGGACTTGAATCAGCTATCCAACTCAAAACTAAAGTGATTTTACCAAAAGTCTCAAAAGATTGACTACTCCAATTCCAATGACTACATATGTGCTAAGTACAAAAAAAACACACCATAAATCATTTTCACTGTGTGGGTAGGTTTAGTTAATACCATTACACAATCACATACATTAAAAACCAACAGTAAGAGCAGCAGTGTCTCTAATTTGGTTACTTAAATACAAAATGGTTTCAAAATAAGTACAATGTGTCTCAACAGAGAATACTATGGATAACTAGACTTTTATCTCCCTAGAACTAAAGATAATATTAAGAATTCAAAAAAATTTGATTCCTCATTTAATTGTTATTCGAGTCTTTCTAACACTATCTTTAACCAACAGTGTTTATTTCAGGATAATTTGTAGTACAAATTGAAGCTTAAAGCTCCAAATTCAAGGTTGCAAAAAGTGATTAACTAATCTGAAAAAAAAAGTAAATGATACTTTTCTTTCAATTGCAATATAATTGTTATTTACTACATAGTAACATTTACTCTGGCTTACTTCTGTAACCTCATGAAATTGTTTCCTAGTCTTTGTTTGGAGTGACCATTTGGGAAAATTATCAACAAACAGATTTAAGGATCATTTCATAAGTTTGATAAGAGAAGGGGAAACACCATACAAGGAGTGCTAATACACAAATAATGATCTGTTTTTCTTATAATAAAGCCACATAGGGCTATCTGCTGTGTCACTTGTGAGCAATCAAACCCTGGATTTTAGCACTGTAAGTCAGTAGATTTATTGCTGTCCCAACACGTTACAACACAAATAAACACAATTATCTCAGATGAAAAATTTTCTTACTACATATCAGCCTCCATTAGGATACATACATACATTTTTTTAAAATCCTAATCATTATGCTTATGACATGTCATTCCACAAGCCATCAGGTCATATCTACATCTTCCAATTCTCATTTCTTAATGCTTTCACTGGCACATTTATAAACAAATCTTTCAATGGACAGGCTTATTTTCAGATACACAATAGAATATAAAAAAACGTGTTTCAATACTTCATTAGTCATTTGAAATGATTATCTAGTAAACTCTGGGAAGTTTGATGGTGATACAGAATTCCACTCACATGGCAGTGAAAGATTAGCAAAATAGGTACTGCTAAAACCAGCTAAAGGATTTACACAATTTTTTTAGAACAGTAACCAGAAAGCCTGAAGTAATTTCAATATTAAGTAGCAATTTAGTTTACTATTGGTGATTATATGCACTGTACTTTTAAGTGACTAATCCTTAGTATAATGATATTACAGGAAATGTTTCTATGAGATGACATGTAAACTACATTGCCAAGTAATGTGGATGCTTGGAAAAGCATGAAAGGAATAAATAACTGTACATATACTATTGTTATGTGCAAACAGTTACTGGGACCTTTACCAGTAGTGGTTATTTTCAGTATCAAGTTTATCATTAAAAATCTTTATTAATGTAAAGAAAGTTTAATACCATGTTCCTTGTTGTTATCTTCATTTGGTGAACACTCTCCTAAAAAGCTGCTCAGCCACAGTCTGTCAGGTCGAAGACTAAACTCCTTGGAACATATACATATATAAAGTTTGAACAATTCAAAACTTTATATTTGTCAAGTAAAAAATTTAAAATAATGAAACATTAGGCTTACTACATTAGCTACATAAAAATACAACTCTGTAATTAAAAATTAACAGTGATTTTTTAAAACTGGTATTTCTTTTATAGTAAAACACATCAATAAATAATAATGGAAAAGTTCATACAAAAGAAAAATTATATTCTACTGGTATTTAAGTGAATATAAAATCATAGGTCCTAACACTTGGCATACAGGAATAACCAAACTTATAAAGTGATGATAATTTATCTTGACAGTTTAGACATACTTGAAAGGAAATATGATATCACTTTACCTATCACTGATTCCTTGATCAATTACCTTTCATACATCTTTGTATCATAGTTATCCCCCCTTCCAAAAATAGTTTGAAACTAGCAAACAAGGCCATAAAGTTTAGAATACAAATGTATATTTTCAAAAAAGGCTTTAACGTGAGGATAGACAGCACAACAATATTGTTAAAATCAAGTTTCACTCACTTAGACCAATGATGTCAAACAGTAGATAAATGTGGTTCATTAATTCATCTGGAACTTAAAATGCCAAAACCACGAGTAATGAGCAAGTTTGGTTATCTACTCCTCATTAGTTCACTGAACACTTAAAACTATTTACTCAAGCAGTGACCCTGATCGCGCAATGAAAACTAGTATATAAAAGCAGCCAATGAAATACAATTTTATACCACAATGTTCTCTCTTTAAGATATATTTATAGCAGAATAAAAATGTTATTTTTAACACTGTTTCTATGAATATCCTTCAACCAACAGCAATCAAATTTCTTATTTGTCATTTCAAAATCTCCTTCTCTCAATGAAGTTTTGTGTCCACTTGTGTAGAAATGAAAGACCTAATAACATCTTGATGATTTGAAAGACTACCAACACATACTTGGTATTAAAGAACTTTTTTTTTTACTAAAAGCAGTTTTTACTTTTTCATAAAAATCAAGAAAATATATGTAAAACTCCTTAACCATCCTAGTTCTTAGTGAGAAGACAGTAACAACTATGCTATGCAACATGAAAAATGTAGCAGAAGTATATAGTTTGAGACACATAATTTAAAAACGGGCTAACATTTCTTGTACTCCAGAATCCTAAGGACTCCTATACAGTGTACAACCTTTGACTTGCTTCAACTAACAAAGATTGCAATGTTTCTAGCCATCAGTTCTGGACACAAAGTTAAAACTTATACAGAACCGTCTGGAAGAATAAACTATGAAATGAGACAAAGTAGAATCATTATTTACAGGTTATTTGCACTGGCTTCATCCAATTTTTGCACCTCAGGTGATTTACCAGAACACACCATGTTCAAATCTTTACACATCTTCCTTGCATGACGAGGAGTTCAGCAGATTCTTAAGGAATTATATGATGAAAACACCATGTATTAGTGGATGCTTGCTTGAAATTAGGAGTATAGCCATAAATAACCAAGCTGAAAATTGTTCCTGAGAATTCACTATTATTTTGAAATAACAATTAATGATATACTGTTAAAATATATAACCAAACATTTATTTTTTTCACATTTTAAAATGGCATTCTTGAGAGTTGCAATATGCAACAATGTATGTTCTAATATTCCTATAACTTAGAAAAGCATAAGGTGTTATAAGGCTGGTTGTATACCTGGTCAAGCAACCATCTTTTAAGATTGTTTGTTTTGAATTTCACACAAAGCTACACGAGCACGTTTGATGGGACGGGGATTCGAACCCAAATCGAGTACCCTAACCATCTGTCCATGCTGGGCCTCATCTTTTAAGTATTGATCTCATTTTCCAGACCTACACTAGATCATTAAAGCAATCTTTGTCAATCTAATAATTTAGTCTTAAGCTATTTTTATACAGAACATCAATACATTTAACTAAATGGTATAACAAATCGGGATTAAAGAAACCTGCCCTGTTCTAAGGCCATTAATCTACTATCCTGACTATTACAGAGCACCTTACACAAACACCTTGCTTTTATCCATAAAAATTACAAGATTACCAACTTAATATTTATGATATCATATGACAAATTGTATTCAAACAATCTCTAACATGCTGTACAGTTAATTGTGGCTGCCTAAAATTAGATGTATAATTACATTATCAATTTGTATGTATTAAAATTATCCCATATGTATAGCATATTAATAACTATATCTTTAAAAGATTATATTCAAAGTTTAAATTATCTACTTTCATTAGTTTCTAGAAATCACTGCCTGGAATATTATAAAATATTAATACTCTTTAATAACCCTTCTTGAAATCTTACTTACTGCAAAACTCCACATACAGGCAAGTGCTTACAAAGAATAAGCTCAAGAAATGCTTTCACTGGCTTTATTTTGAAGAACATGCGAGTCTCAGATCATAATAGTCCTTCTATTTTAACACAAACTACAGATGATTTCTAGCTCTAGTATATGCAGATTGGTATATGAAGTTTATTGAAACAAATCTCTAGTATGTTAAAGTGTTGTGTTTACTGCCACTTATTCTTTTTTAATTGAAAGTATAATCCACATATCTCTGTTTAAAATACAAATCTGTTTTTCATAACAAAGCAGCATCCCTGAAGTAAAGATAAATAATTGCTTGTAAAAGGTCAGAAGATTCATGACATTTATAATAGAATAAAAAGAAAGTTACCAAAATGTAATGTCAATATTGTCCACACAAGAAGTACAGTCTTTAAGTTGCATTTTTATATATTCAGTCAGTTTTAACTTGCTTGGCTTTCTTTATTATTTTGATACATGATATTGCCAACTGAAGCAGGTGACTTCCCACTATAAAGCATACAAACAAGGATTGATTAACAAAGATTTATCAGTGAACGATGACCTCACTCAACCAATAGCAGAAAAAATACTAAGTAAAAGTAATGTTTTAATATAATAATTTAGAATTATAAGACAACCTAAGCCATGTTTGAACATAATAACTATTTATAATAATAAGACAACTTAAGTCATGTTTTTATATAATAACTGTTTATAACCATAAGCTAATTTAAGTAATGTTTTAATATAATTGTTTAGAATCATAAAACAATTTAAGCCATGTTTTTGTATATCTATATAAATAATACGCTTTCATTTGCTTGTCCAGAACTTTTCTCACAAATTTCTCAAGCAAATGTTACAAATCTCATATCATTAGAAAGCCCTTTGTCCGAGGAGTCCGGATTGCATGTCAGCTTTTCAATTCAGAATCATCTTACATACTTTTTGCTTAGTCAAACTTTTCAATGCAACAAGTATGGCACAATGTCGTTCTCATCACGTGATGACTGGTTTCGATTTCAACTTTAGTTTTTTTATTTGCAAAGTATTTCACACAAACAACACTTAACCTGCATATATTTTTTTAAAATGAGCATTACACTAAATACAATTTCTATGGGCTTTCTCGACTTATTTAAATCTAAGAAAAATGCATGTTCAGTTCGTTCAAAATAATATATGCTAATCTCTTTGAGAACATGCATTCAGATGTTTCTGCATATTCAGCTAAGTTTGCCTTCATTACAACTTTACATATAGTTTACTGCAATAATTTAGCTTCAGTTCATTTCATAGACTGCTATAAGCACTAGGGGTTTCATTCTTTGTTTTTGTGAGTTTCTTTGTTTTAACTTGTAAAAACCATGTCATACACTGAATGCTCATAACTGTTTAACACTCTGTACGCTATTATAAATACCATTACCTTACTTTATTGTTTATTTTACGTGTAGTTTTATTAAATAAAGTTACTTCCACGTGAGTTTGTTTGACTGCATAAAATGTTTTCAAATAGACCAGGATTTATCGATCCAACGCATAATGCCTGCAAGAAAGAGTATCTTAAATGGTGTGCGTGAAAATAACAGAATAAGGAAAATTCAAGCAAAGGGCATGAAAACTACCACTAATGTTTTTGTGGGACATGGCTAATTATTAAGTAATACTGTAGCAAACTCTGCAAACTACATTACCATTGATTAAATCCAATTTTAACATTTTAAAAAGTGTACCTGAATTTCACACAGCACTATTGTATTTTCAACCACAGTGTGTTAAAACTTAGAAACTCCTCTTTTTGTGCTATCAGTTGAGTGAAGTCATTGTTCACTGATAAATCTTTAATACTTACTTATGCAAAGGAACTGTAAAAATCATATTTGTATTTTAAGCAAAGAAATGTTTAAACAAAGAGATGTGAATTACATCTCCAATTAAAAAAGAATAAGTGGCAAAAACACACAACACTCTAAAGATTATTTCAATAGACTTCATCCACCAATCAGCATGTACAATACTACAACTAGTAATTAACAACTATTATATCATATTCATATTTTATAATATTGCAGACAGTGATAATGGTAAGGTAGCATATTCTATATATTACATAATAGATTAAACCAAAATATTAATTTTACTCTTAGTTTTATGTTTCTTCTGCATGTACAGTACTATCAACACTACTATAGGATTCTTATAGTGTTACAGACAGAGATAATGTGTCACTGTACTTTTACTTTTATTCTTGTATCAATTTATGCATTTTTTAATGTACAGTGCCATTAGAAAAATTTGTCAAATGCTATTTCCAGCATATAAATTTGCAATTATATGTTTATTTACCAAATGCTTCTTGTTCACGCAAAACATACAACTTCTTTCCTAATGTTCAGCTTTTCTAAATGACAAATTAATTTCTCACTTCCAAGCAAAGTTAATTCAGGATAGACATAACTGGTTTTATTTTGATGCTGGTTGGTAAATGCTTGAGTTGGACAACACTGTTGGCCTAAAGCTCAGGGAAAGCCTTGCTCACTTGCTTACACATGCTATACTTTTCTAACAATAGGACACATTGCAAGGTATCTACCTTTAAACGTTCAACTCCATTATTATTTGTTTTCCCTACTGTATTGTAAATTGATTGGTAACAGGAAATCTCTTTTCCTCCAAGTGGAGGTAGTGACAATTGGCCAACTGTTATCCATCATATTTGTTTATATTTTCGACTTGTGACATAACTTGGCCTTGAATTAAGGCTCCCAATATCTATCCATTTATAATTAGGGTTTGACTGATGCACTGACTGGCAATATTTAGTCATATATTTTCAAGAATTTCACTGACATATAATGAAATGAATATTTGAGAAAATTTTAGAATTTATTAAAAGTTATCACTTCATAGGGTATATGCATCTAGTCACTAGGCATTAAGCCTAATTAACTATTTTACTGCTATAGTCTAGCCCTAAGAAATATGTTGGATATGCTGGCTGTGTAATGCCAGTGTGATCTGTTATTACTTAATAATGTATAAAAAATATGGGTAAGTGGTCTTATGATTCTAAATAGCTATTATATTAAAACATCACTTGTACTTCATATTTTTGTATGCTACAGATTCCTTTAATTAATAAATTATACTAAATTTAAGAATTTTTTTAAACTGTTAGCTATTATAGTATTGTTCTTACTACTTCTGAAAGTTCTATTATTACATATAGGTTAAGAAAATTCTGTATGCTGGCTTGATGCTGCTTAATTGATGTTACAAAATTATTTCAATTGGTTGGGTTTCTGGAACTACAAGATTGTTTGTTAAAATATTTGGGTTATTCTAGAACAGTCTTCAGAAGTGTTTTACTGGAAAGTGAGGTTAAGAGGTTGGTGTTACTATCAGCTATATCTGTTCATGGGAGTTTTTACCCACCATTAACCCTCAAATTACAAGCTTCTTTTTATATTGTTCGCTACTGAAGGGGATCACATATTAAATAACTGTTTTTGCTTTATACAACACTCATTGTAAAGACCTGACCAAAAACTGGGTAAAGTTACTAATCTTCTATGTAAAATACATAAGGGATCCCAACAGTAATTAGAAGGTTTATCTGCAATAGGGATGGTAATCTTGTTTACTTTTGTGTGTGTGTGTGTGTGTTAGGAATCCTGTTACAAACACAATCGTGGACCTACATGGGAGAAACAAGGTAACAGTAGTGTAAAATATGTTTCACAATTCAGAAATAACTCTTAAAATAAAACTGAAACTATTAACAAGCTTCTCTACCTGATATAACAAGAAAAGTTGGAGAAGGTTGTTCTATATCTATTTATAAAGAAACCTCAAAATATACAAATTTAATACAAAATTTTTAAAGAATACAACCTTACACTTGTCTGTTCTCCTATTGTTGCCCTAACAAGTATGTGTGTGTGACATCACAAGAAGCACATCTATTGCGATAATATATAATAATCAAAGTGAACTGAGAAGCAATAACCAACCAGTTTATTTTTCTGGGGTAAGCCTTGGTGAGACCAAGAAAATAGTTACATATGAAATGACTAAACCAATTCTAAAACAGATTACAGGAAACATACAATAATCTTTATACTGTAGGAGATGTCATTTATTACCTCTGCCACCAAAGATGGATGAAGGTTATGTTTTCACCCATGTGAGTTTGTTTGTGTGTTTGTCGGCAAGATTACTCGAAAACGACTGAATGGATTTAGACAAAAGTTGGTATAAACATGGACTATGACCCAACTTTTCTAGAATTGATTAGTTTTTTGAGGGTCAAGGTCATAGCAAGGTCACGAAAATCCAAAAAATCCCTAACATGGGGACCAATTTTTCACACTATTTTTGCTCCATAGCTCAGTCCAAATTGATCAGATTTTGATGAAACTTGGTGGACATATGTAGAATATTTTTCCTCCTTGTCCTACCAAAAGTTTTTGAGGGCGAAATATGATCAACATCGCATGGCGTAGGTATGCACTCTACTGAGTACCCCTTTAGTTTTTCAGCTGTTCTTTTAAATATAACCACAAAATGTATGCAAAACTAAATAAGGACTATAAAAAACAAGAAACAGCATAAAAAATAAACATTCAAGTAACAACAGAAGAAAGAATAATAATATGTAGAAATAATATTAATCTAGACAGAAAAGTAGTGAAAAGTAATATATTACAAAGGTAAAGTAGAAAGAATGAAGAAAATTATAGGAAATCTAGTCTCAAAAAAGTGGAGGTCATTCACATCAACAGGTGAGGGTTACAAAAATAAATTAAGAATGGTAGATCACTAATTTTCCTAGTACATAATGGCTACAAAACCAGTTGACAATAAAACAGTGATCAAACATCACTTTTCTAACTATTAGAAAAGATGTACTCATAAGTAAAGGCTTGTTTATATATATAGAAAAAAAATACAAACTTAACTACAAAAAAAAAAAATCATTCATTATGCTACAATCCATTTGTGGACATTTTAGGTACATTTAGGTCTGTCTGTATGTAAATTATAGCAAAAAATGTCTTTCTGTTATTCTAATAAACAAAAGATACTGGGATAAAAGAAAATGTTTAATGTTCTAAAAAAGTTTTTTTCCCCTACATATTGACTTGAATTTTAAGCTTCTAAGTTTACTACTGAACTTACCACTTCATCTCCAGGATCACAGTGATCAATTGGTTTGTGTGCAGTATTAAGGTCACCAACAATGATAACATGGCTGTTGGATTTGTTACAAACAATATACATAATTAAAATTTCAATCAAATAATTTCAGTTCCTTAAATGTCACAAAAAATATAACAATAAACAGAACAGGAATGTAAGAAAGACTCCCCAGTCAGTAGTTGATTACATAAACATCACTTTTCCAGTAATTCAAACTCTGTTTAAACATTAAAATTTAAATTATATATATCACATTACTATTATCAGTCCAAGTTGTCAACTTATTGTCATAGCGAATAATGTCTGTGGTAACAGCACCCAAATGCATTGGGAATATCCCATCTATCAGGCAAAATGTTAATGTTAGTCCAGTCAGCCATCATGGAAAATCAAATAAGGGTATGAAGCTGAGTGCTTACATCCACAACATCTCAGCTTCTACTTCCTTTAATTGTCTATAGCCAGTTGTGAGAAGGCAGTTACCTTCAAATTTCTTAAAGTAGAAACGAAACCACCCTAACATTTCTATTAATTAAACTCCCAACCTCCACCCTTACAAAAAGATATTAAATAGAACTACAAAATATTAAATAAAACTATAACTCTACCTTAAAACTTCTTATACAGATCTTACTCCAAACCTTTTCCCTTTCTCTTGAAAATATATTCAAGTATAACACGGAATGCCGAGACAAGCCCAGCTACTTTGAAGTTAGTCTTTCCTTCTCGGTATACTGAATAAAATTATTTAGAAATTGTTATTAGCTACTTATAAATCAAAATAACTAATGCCCTCTTTATTTTATTATATAAAAAAATATAAGGTATTTGCCTTGATTGATAGTTTAGTTTCTAAAATATTTTTGTATTTATTAAAAAATAGTGTAAGGTATTTCTTTAATTGCCTGTCTTTATAGCCATTATCTTTCAGTATATCTTTTAATAAAAGAACATTATCCATGAAAAAATTATAGTTATTACAGACTATTAAAAACCTTGTTAGTTGAGATATGATAATACCTTTTAACATGATACATGGAATAACATTATTAGGCGTGGGTAGACCATAGATGGGGAACTTAAATTCCCTTCTTTTATAAAAATAGTCAACCACACCGTGCCTTCTATAAAAGTAATGTCCAAGTCTAAATAATAAGCATGTACTTCATTATTATTTTCCTTCTTTCTGTTGTAAGTTATGTTGGATATATTAAGTTTGGTGTAAAATTCATATTATTGGGAGTATGAACTATATAAGAACTTTTAAGTTAGGATTTATAGTTCTGTTTAATATCTTTTCCTAATGGTGTAGGTTGGGAGTTTAATTAGTAGAAATGTTAGGGTGGCTTCATTTCTACTTCAAGAAATTTAAGGGTAACTGCCTTCCCACAACTGGCTAAAGACAGCAAAAGGCAGTAAAAGTTGAGACGTTGTGGGTGTAAACACTCAGCTTCATACCCTTATTTGATTTTCCATGATGGCTGACTAGACTAGCATCAGCTTTATGATTTTGACCGATAGATGGGTTATCCCCGACACATTTGGGTGCTATTACCACAGACATTATCTGTTATGACAAAAAGTTGACAACCTGGACAGATAACGGTAATGCGATATTTAATTCATTATTGTTTTATGGTGCTGATTCCATCGCCTATTAACAATTAATGTAATCAATATATATATATATATAAAGAACCACTTAAGTTAATGTTAGATAACTTACGAAAATGAATAAGATTATCTATTTTTTGTTTTCTTGGGATAATCACTTCTCTATTATCAAGACTTTTTGGAACATTTCTAAAAAATCCAATTAAAAACTATAAAGGGGTCTGATAAAAAAAAAACTGTGTTTCTATTAAAATATTTATTATTCACAGAAACTTACTAATAAAAAAAAGCTCAAATCCCTTATGTATGATGCAGAATTTTTGCATCATACATAACTTTCTCTTAAATTGGTAAAATTCCAATGAAAAGTGCTGAAGAGATTGTTTAAACAAAATACTTCAATATTTGAAAGATAAATAAACTGTAAAGTTTAGAGAAACATTTTAAACATCAAATCTAGGTAGGACTTAAAAAGGCTAATGTTTCATACTTGCATATGTCCATGTTAAAGATGCTTATTTATAACTTATCTTTGGAGCATTATTTTTGTTTTTGAGAATATCAGAAACCATAAATTAGTTGTTATAACCCTTTGGAACAAAATAAAATACATATGCAAGTAAATTGGAAATTGAAGTACACTTTAGAAGGAAAAAGATACCCTAACATTCTAATAAAGATTTAAACACAATATATACAAGTACAAAATATATGTAGATAGAAGGTCATTAGTGAATCTATAAACTACAATAGAATACAGCTACATCTAAGAGACACTGCAAACAAATGTTTCTTATGAAATTCCAAGCAAGCTGTTTAACCCTCTTATTATGCTCAGAATTTATGTATGTCTGTTATATTTTGAGTCACATTCAACCAATGATACTTCAAACAGCTTGAAACAACTTTGAATTGATAAAATATTTGAAATTAATGCATACCTTATTATAATAAAATATAACTTGAATCATATCATAACTTTATAGAAACCAGTGTCAGGGTAAATAGACCTAAAATATAATAGGAGGGTTAACCTAAATTTTCAGTTGTTTCAAAGGGTAAAAAGTAGTGCACTTGGACAAAATATTTTTTTTTTAATGTGTGTGTGTGTGTGTATATACAGCACCATTATTGTACCAAACTGGAAGCCTGCTAAAGAGCCATTGATACATTTAAACCTTCACAACCCAATATTACTTACTAGTAAATTTTAAAAATCCATAAAATTTTGCATGTTGATATTAATACTAAATTATACACTGTCACAGAATGCATTATGTGGTATTAATTTTTATTTTACTCTATGTTTTCAGGCTTTATTGCAGTAGTTATAATATTTATATTTTTTTTGCAATACTTGAAAATTTTTATGTATAATATGATACATACGTAAAACTTTTTTACGGAACATGCAATTCCTACACACCTGTACATGTACATTTCTTCAACTATAGAATTATTTTTGTCCCTAGAGTACTTCAATACAGAATGTGCCTTTTCTCTGACCCACAGTCTATTTTAATGCTGCTTAACTCCCATATGCAAGTTCAGAAAAGTTAATACTTCTAGGACAGACATTAATAAACAAACCATGAATCACTGAAGCCTCAAAGTAACCTTTCAGACTTGCATTTCTTCACAAAACTATTAACTACCTTTTCATGTGCATTCAGAAATAAATGTGCCAATTATTAGTACCATAAAATAGGATGAATTGATTAACTTTAACTGTTTTATCAAAAATATCACATCTCTGAAACGATAACATAAGGGAAATAAAGGATCGTTTGATCCTTCAGAGCTGTTCTTGCACACCCACCCTTGAGAAAAGTGAAAATTTAAGACACACCCTATATTTTTTCATGAAGTCATAGATTAGCCTCTTAAACTCTTAACAAAGTGCTGGCCTCTACTACAGCCAATGGCAACTTATTCCATAAACCAATCACTTTTTTAGAAAAATAACTGTTTTAACAGGAGATCTAGCCCATTTTTCTTAAATCTTTAACTTGTGTACTCTGGTTCTATTGTCTTCAAAATACAAATACATCAAATCAAATTAAAGTAATCAGATATATAAACTAGAAGCAATGTATCACTGTCTATTGGAAGCATTCAAATATTTTCTGGCCAAGGGGTATTACTGGTATCCATAGAAACTTAATAGTATCTAGTTTGGGCTTAAAAACGTAATATAATTTGATTTACTCTTTTTCTCTTGTTTCTTATGCTGTTAAACTTACACAGTTTTGTTGTTACAAAATATTAATTCTCAAATATTTCTGAATTAAAAATATTCTTGAAATAGAACTTGATTTATTATTTTGACTTAGATTTTGAAATTTGATATATAGGTGTGCATTCCACATCTGAAAGGTTCTCTCCAATCACGATAAGATTAAACATATTGTTTCTGATATCTATTCTTTACATTTGATATTATCATGTAGTTAATTGTTAAACATCACTGACACTTTTAAAGATGGAGGTTGTTCAATTATACATATGAAAATTTGCATGCCCGAGTGATGAAGTGAGTGTGTGTTAAATTACTGCATACAATCTTCAGTTGAAAACCTATTCTGATCTGTTAAAGGAGGTTAATGGTCCATCACCATGTTTAGTTGTCTCACACCAGAAGACTGACACTAGCTTTACATGCCACACATCTAACTAAATCTCTTAGTCAGAAACTCAAGCAGCCATTAAATTTTTTTTATTTGCTGTTATTATTATTTATAGCACAATTTTTTTTGTATCTTATTTAGTTTTCAATTTTATATTTCACAAGTGTTTCATTTTTTTGTTGAACTATTCAGCTTAATCAGGTAAATTTCAACTGTATTAATGAACAAGTACTTCTAACACTCTATTTTGCAACAAAAATCCCACTGTTACTCTATCATATTAAAATCCTAAATGTAGAGATTCCAAACATTGTCTTATGAATGAACATGTATATATAAGAAATTCAACTGACTTTCGATGATTTCCTGAATTTTTTTTTTACAAAACTGGGCATTTGAATGTTCTTTTTCTTTTTGATGAATAAGGTCACAACATACGAGTGTTTTGGAGATTTTTTGGGGTAATTTGTGTTCATTGTTGTTTTTGAAATGATAGTGCTATAGGAAGTATCTGTCCACCCACGGCTGTTTTTCTTGTAATGAGTAGTGGTACAAACACAGAATTTACAAATAAACTACTTACTACTGTTTCAACTAGGAGGATGCAGTTCATAAATCTAAATAAAATACATTATTGTTTCTTTACTACATGACATTTCTAAGTCTGTTCAGAACTGTAATATACACTAACTTTCATTTCATTCTCTAACAGACTATAAGTAGTGCATAAGCCTATAGTGTTGCTTCCTAACCTCGCATCTTTAAGAAGCTTTGGAATGAAAGCTATGAGACTCACTTAATTTACAATGAACTAAAAAGGATATAAAACTTTTCACCTATTCATAATACATGTAAAATGTTTATATTTCATGAAAATAAACTCTTTCACAACATTTGTTTCTTTTTCTTTTATATTAGGTGTTTTAGCACACTGATAAAAATGCATCTGTGGAAAGGCATTAGTCCACTGACCAGTGGTTGGGAACCACTGTTGTAACCCACCACAATATGAGTAAAATATCACAAAATAAATGAAATATGAATTACATCTTGACTGATTCAATAAAAAAGGCATGTATTAGATTATCAGTAATTTACAACAGTATCCAATGGGCAACTATTTTGTTTTTAGCTTAATGATTAGAAATTATATTTATATATATCAAAACACAAACCTCTGTCTTTTACTCTTAAAAATTAGAACTTAATATTTCATTTACGAAATGAATAAATATTTGATTTTTATTTAAAAATTTGTATCTTCTTCTCAGAGATAAAAATAACTTACAATCCATTTTGTACTAGTTTCTCAGCTCTTTTCTGTAAAAGATAATAAAACCGCAATTTAAAATCAGCTCGTTCAGGCTTCTCAGGATCAGCACGTGGGCAGTACACATTTATGATAACAAGCTTTTCAACCTTTTTATTACACCTATAAAACAAACAGTATATACAGAAAACAGTAATCAAAATGTTAAAAAATTATATATGGACAAATTGAAATACAGTAAACTTAAATGATAACTTATATTCAGCAAAAAAATTTTTACAAATGGAGCTACATTAATAAGATTTCTATTAACAGAATAATAATTTTAACTTTGCACATCATTGCCAATTTCTTTTGCTTAATATATAGTTTAAGGTTTTAATCTAACAAATAAGTCTTAAAAATTGTAAATAATTTTGATATTTTAAGGTAATCTGTATGTTTTGAAATTTTGTTTTCAAGGAAACAAAAATTCAAATAAATCTGGTCCTCAAACACTTACAAATATTTAAAGGTTTTGCATCAAATCTACCAGATAATCAGGATTAAAATAATTCAACTAATGCATTTCACAATCTACTTTTTAACACATAATGAATTTAATAACTGATTATGTAAATCATATTTAATTGTGAAAATATTAATTCTGATGATTCCCCAAAAGGGAAATTTAAGAAAGATTTGGTTTAAGCCTTCCTTTCCAATTATAGATCTTCAACACCCAACCAGAAAGTCTTCCTACCACCTTTTCAGTCCATAGTAGAGGTCTTAGAGTATTCATGATGTTGATGTACATAAACATGCTATGGTGTGTATGCCTTTTACAAGCTGGCAAATTATGATTAGAATTATATGTCATAAGACATTAGCATCAGGCCTATTACATGTTTAAACACTACAGGCTTAATCTAGACCCTTAGGGATTTTCCTGACAAATTCTGTCCATCAAAACATTTGAAAATACCATGCTGGCTTGCTTTCAATTACTTTTAAAACAAACAGAAATGTTTTGTTGTGGTATATGCTGATTAATAATTCATTTGTAAACATGTTGCTTGCTACAGCTCTTAAAGAATGATGTGAACCTTGTTTGGAGATTTCAAAGAGTTTTCATGAACTGTTTCACCATAACCATCTGATCACAATTAATCAACCAATGTTGCAAAGGGCATTCACATTACTGGTCAGTTCTAGTAAATTTCTAAAGTTGTTGGTGTATGGTGGTTTTCATTTCAAGAAGACTGATGGTGACTATAAAACTGTTCAACAACTGAAATGGAATTTTTAATAAGTCTCACATATGCACATAGGGTATCACCTGAATTGCCAGCTTGGTGCCAAACTGGCAAAAATGAGTCAGTACATACAATTAACAATCACAAAAAGTTGCTGTGGCAATTGCTAGATAAAGTCTAGATTATAGTTACAAAATTCTTCTTATATTCATCTTAAATAATTCAAATGCTAATTTGTTAAACTTCTTACCAATACCATTGTTTTTGAGGTTAATTAGCTCTTTAAATGCATTTTTCAGCTTTATACTTGTGTTTGATTACTTTTCATTATTCCTTACTATAAACACTGAGTAACAAGTTACATGTAGTTATATGCTACTCTTCAAAGACCCATCAAGTATATATAAAGGTCACATTCAAAATTTCTGGTAGTCTATTTAGCTAACAACTGCTTCTTATAAAAAAAAATTGTAATACAACATTGATAATAGCAAGAGCAAAATTCATGATAATTTCATTTTAGAAACATAGTGCTCAAAAACTTAAAAATGATGGAAGGATGAAAGTGATCTTGGTGTTCTAGTTTATTACTCTCTTAAGCTATCCAAGCAATTATCTACTGAAATATTGAATAAAAGCCTAAAGAAGTTAAAATTCCATTGTATAAGTCATTTATCAGACCATATTTGAAGTACTGAATACTCCCTACCTTAGAAAGGACATTGAACTGTTGTATAGGGTTCAGAGAAGGGCTATTAGGATGATATCTGGGATGGAAAGATTGTCATATGAAAAGATGCTAAAAATCTTTAAAACTGTTTTCTCTTGAAAAAAAGGAGAATCAAAGGGAATCTGATTCAGGTGTTTAAGATTGATAAGAGAATTGACATTGCTGTTGATTCATCATCCTTTTCCATACCTATTGGTGAGAATGACAGGACTAGAGAACACAAATATAAATTATGGCAGGGTAAATGTCATCTTCAGCTAAGACAGCTTTACTTTTATAACAGGGTAGTTGGCCCTTGGAATGAGTTGCCTTCAGATGTGATGGATGCAGTTAATATAAGAGTTTAATTATGGGAAGGCTTAATAAATATGTGAGTGATAAGAGTTGGCTTTGAGTATTTTAATTGCATTTTAAAGTTTAGTGGATGAAGCAGCCTAAATGGATCCTTGTTGTCCTTAAATTATATATATGTATGCATACATGTATATATTAATTCACCCAAGAAACATATCACAGTATGTCTGTGATATTCAAATCAAAGTGTGTTTAATATTTCAGAGTCAGAGAAATTCAGTTCAACTAGGTGATACAGTTACAGACATTCCTAAAGCTATTGCAATTACTACTCCTTCCTCTAAGGTTATCAGTGCATCTGAGAATAACACAATTTATGAAATGTAGCTTAGAAATCATCCCAGAAACTATTGTTTACAAAAAAATAAATAAATTAACATTATGAACAGCTGAGAAATGCAACGAAAAGGCTCATCAAATTAAATGCTATGAATAATTTGTTACAAATAATGCAAAAAGTCTCGGTAAGAGCCATATAGCACAGTAATATATTTGGATATACTGAATAAGAAGAAGAAAGTTAAGGAGAAAACTAATCACTGGCTTTAAAAACAAGCAAAATGTTAAAATGTTATATTGCAAATGTATGAGAATGACAGCAATCTCATGCTGAAAGCATTAAAAATGTAAGCTCTTGGAAGTCAATTTCAACAAGGTTTAAACTTCCATAAGAGAAAAGCCTTAAAAACTGCCATGATTTCCCTACACTAAGAGAGGTTATGAGAAAAAGTACCTGCATTCAAATATCATTCATTTATTTTTAAAGTCCTGCTTTCTCCCCATCCCCCAAAGTAACAATGAATAAAGAATTCTGAAAGTGGTGAAATGAAACACACTGAACTATGGTATGAGCATTATAAAAAAAAATTCTCAAATTGATGATCAAGAAATGAATGATGTCTTAAATTACAAAAACATTAATTGGCTTTTTTATTAAAGGTTATGAGTATTCGTTTCCTTTAAACTACTTACAGAAACACAAATAATGTGCAAATGCTTGATTTCAATAACTGAAATAAATAAGTTGTCTGAAACTAAAGGATGTTTGTGTAAAAAATTGTTTGTTGAATTTCTGTTCTAAGCATTCCTAATTTTGAAATGATAAACTAGAAGGAAAACAGCTAGTCAACACCACCCATCATCAACTCTAAGGCTAATTTTTACCAAGGAATAGTTGGATTGGCTGTCACATTATTATGCCCCCATGGCTGAAAGGTCAAGCACGCTTGGCAACAGGTTTCAATCCTGTGACAGAATGCATGTAGAGTGCCCTAACAATAAGGCCATGCCAGGACCCAAAACTGATTTCAAAACATGTTTATGTATAGTAAATAAGGATAATAATGGTATACTTTAACTCGTTCATTACAACAAGTAACAACTACAACTATAATTTGTCCATTTATCAATTCTTTTTGACATGTTAACATGTTTGTGCAGTATATCCTTTGAAGTTGATAAGTAATCAAATTAGCCAATCCCATATTCTCAATTGACTGTGCCACATTTGATCACTGTGAAATATTATAAAACACAGCATTTCTATGAATTCCCATGGCAAATACCTATGAGAATATAGGAAAATCTATGTGATTGTCAGAAGTAATCAACTCATAGGATCATTTAGGCCTAACTAACGGACAACAACCTATATACATGGAGGAATTGTTCTGCAAACAAGTTAGGCATGATGGCTGCATGGTGTCAACATACTTTATTATTACTATATAATACACAAAAATATAGCATAATCTCATGGCTATCGATAGCAATAATAATAATAAAATTATTTGCTCCTAGTACTTTGTTTTCTACTTTCAATTTCTGTAACAAAAATAAATCTTACTGAATATATATATATATTTACATTTTTGGTTGCCATGAGGTTTTGAATATGGGGCTGGATTCTTTACAGTAGGTGCCTGTACTTGTTGGTGACAAATTCAAACAATAAACGTACAGCACACAATCTACTTGTTTTAAAATAATATATTCAAAATAAGTCAACCATATGTACAAAAATTCTTTACAGCATGGAATATCACAGTTGTATATGAAAATCTAAATAATTCTCTTTTCTTGTCAAAATCACTTACATTACCCAGTGGGTTACCACAGTTGTATCCAGAACTATAAATAATTGTCTCCTTTTCATCAAAGTCCACATAGATGGGTTCAATTAATTTAGAACACCTTTGACAAGACAAGTTATTGTCCTTACCTCTGCTAAACTTTGAAACTCTGTTCAGATATCACCCATTACAGCTTAACTAACAATCACGCAATCTAACCTCGCTTTCACTAACTTTTCTGACTTCACTTAACTAGTTGGTTACCACAGTTGTACCCAGAGCTTTAAATAATTGACTTTTTTTTTTCAGCAAAAGTCCACACAGGTTGGTTCAGTTACTTTGGAACCCAGTTGACAAGAAAAATTATTCTTCCTATCACTGTTATCACAATACAGTTGTGAAACACTGTATAAATCATCCATTAAGGCTAATCACTCACACACTGGCTGACTTTACATTTTCTTCAACTAACTAACTTTTTTTGTCTTCCTTAACTTGCTGTTTCTGTACATATTTATAACATGTAACAGAGAAATCTAGAACAATCTAGCCTTCTAGTAGCAACAATATTACACATAACTAGAAAACTCAGAAGCTTTGAGTAAGATGATCTCAACAATATTACCAAAGTCTAGTACAACTAATAAACTGCATACACAACATACAACTTGTACAGTGTTATGTAACACACTTGACATAACTATTACTTTTAAAATAATTAACTTTTAACACTCTTGTTATGAAAACTATATATAGTCTTGTATATTCAATAGATACAAATTGTTCTTGCCACATGTACTTTGGGGAGTTCAATTACTACACTCAGACAGAAAGAGTTTGAGAGTTTAACCCTTGGGGAGTTCAGTTACTACACTCAGACAGAAAGGGTTTGAGAGTTTACCCTTTGGGGAGTTCAGTTACTACACTCAGACAGAAAGGGTTTGAGAGTTTAACCTTTGGGGAGTTCAGTTACTTCACTCAGACAGAAAGGGTTTGAGAGTTTAACTATGTGTTGACTTGATGCTCATTGACTAATGTGGTAGAATATTGTTCTGACTGTTAGGATTTCTCTAGAACAATTTACTTATTTGATGATATATTAAGTTCATTCTAGAGTGGCACTACAATACTTCTCTAAATTATTTTTCTATACTGAAAATGTATTTCCAATAGGAACTTACCTCCTGTCACAAATATAGCTATTCTCATTCAGTGCTGCCCTCTATATGCAAAAATATTTTTTGTATGCCACAAGCCTTGCATATCCATGTTCCCCATGATCATTATGGTTCAAATGCATTTTGCATGCAAACTATCATGCGACAACCCACCACTAATAGGAGTGCAACACACCCTCCTGACACATGAGACTCCCTCTATTTGATTCTACCAAACTATCACTTCAAGACAAAAAAATGGAAGCACCTGTTTACAGTGGGGAAGAAGGGTGCGAAGTGTGAGCAGAGTAAAGTACCTATCGAAAATACATTTCCAGTATAGGAAAATTATAACTTCTGATATGGTACATTACCTTCGCTCACAGATATAGCTAGAATCCCACATTGAATAGGTGGAGGAACTGGTGCAAGAGATAGGAAGAAGTATCTGAAGAATACACTATTAGAGGGCCATACGTGGGAGACTGCACCACTTCTGTACTAGGTATACTCTATGCCAGTGTAGAAAAAGGTGTTGCAGACATTGTCAGAAAATGGTAGGAGCACATCCAAAAGGGGAAAGAAAAATGGTTGGATAAGGATCCAAACCACCTTATACCAGAATCTCAATAACTTCAAAGAAACATCAGAGAAGTAAACCTTTACATACAGTAATGTGGGTGAGAGTAAAAAGGATATGCCCCAAGGTGTAGAGTGGCTAGGGCACGATGGAACATACTCGGCAAGTCAACTGCATCCAAAACCCAACCACCAGCAACCAACATACATGTGGGGGGTAGGAAAGAGGATCATACCATCTTCACCTAAAGTTCAGCAGACCAGATGGAGATATCATGGCCACTGATCAGTGAAAAAGGCACATGTGGTAAAATTGATAATAAATTACCAGTCCAGGAACCCGACATCTGGACGATCGGAATAAGATGTACAACATCCAACTCAAAACCAATCAGACAAGAACTACCCCCAATGCAGTATCATCCTTGGTATATGTAACTTAAATTCAAACCACCCTGGGAGGATAACTAACATCCAAAAACCTACCAAATTTATTGGACCAGCCTGGACTTTGTACAGAGCCATATCAGAAACATTTACTCACACTTTTATTACTTTAGATAATTCTGGTTGCAAACATTGTACTATAAACAAGCCAATAAATTCTCTACCACTGTGTTCTTGGAGCCTGAATTACAATAATTTTTCAACTTTAAAAGCTTTAATGTGGTTACGAAATCAGTCAAATTGACTGACTACATATAGAGTTGGGGTAGAAAAAAAAATATGAAATTTTAAGTTTTGCTTAAAAAAAAAACAAAAAAAAAAGTTTGACATTTACTTAGGAGGTTTTAGAGATTATACAAACCAAATTAAAAATTTTTTGATGAAGTACAGTCTTTATAATCTTAACAGGAAAATCCCTTTGCACTCGGAGCAGTCAACATTCTGTATCTATATATTCTTGGACAAATTTTTAATAAAAATACTGAACTAAAAATTCTGATATTTTTATCTACGAAAAACTTGGAAAAGTTTTGAAGATATAAGAAATATGTTAAAAGTCATACTATGGAAACTTGATGGTCACTTTGGGGTCACGTGATTTAATTCTCTAAAGCAGTAGCAAAAGAGTTAAATAAAGCCAAAATTTTGGGGGTGATTTGTACATAAGTGACCCAAGGGTTTGAAATAATGGCAACAACATAATTACAAGCTAGTTCAGAATCACTTAAGATATTAATATTCATATCAATAAAACAATTCACCATAATAAAGTATGATTAATTGAGAAATTTTTCTTTTATCTAAAATTAAGAGTGCTAGAAAAAGAATGATAATCACTCAGTATAGTCTAACTCAGATAAGTGGGTTGCAAAGAGTGAAGTTTTAAGCCTTTTAATATCCTTTCACCATATTAAAAAATACTTACTGAACTTCATGTGAAGTTACAACAGCTCTCCCTTCTGCATCTAAGAGCATCAGCTCTTGTGAAGTAAACTCTTTAAAGTTGCCATTAAAGCCTAAAGAGTCATCATGACAATTCTGTCCTGTTATCAAGCCTGAAAGTCCTTCTTCAGCTCTCTCTGGTTGACATGAATCTCTGCAATAAGTTGCGACACCGGAGTATCCACTCTGCCATCGTGGGAAACTGTAGTATGAGCTGTATCCCTCCACAATGGCTAGTTCTTCTTCCAGTAAACTACCTGTAGTTACACATGAAATATGTGCCTTTATAAACACTTTTTAATAAAAAGATCATATTCTCAGGTTCACTGAATTCCCTCAGATTAGATGGATAAGAACCACAGTAACAGAAGATCCATTGGAAACTAGATCAGAAAACAAAGGTCACAAACAAAGAAAGTGACTAAATACAAAACTGTATAAAACAACTAAGAGCTGTCTTTATTAAGTAAACACAAACAGTTTGATATCAAGTAACAGCGAGTGTTTAATAATGTGCTCTGTTAAATTACAGGGAGAGAGAGATCTTTATAAGTTCTCTGTCAACATTTCTAAGTGAATTTGAACTTCAGTATTAAAGCACAAAATAAATGTTTAAAGCTCAAAGTTAATCTTCAAAAATAGAAATTTTATAATCTGCAAATTTGTTCAAAAACACAGAGAACACACTGTCTACAACAAAATTTATATAAAACAAGGAATTACAAAATCTGTTCAGGAGATTGTGAAGAATGGAACTATTTGAGAAATTATAAATATTGGTGTTGAAGTCGTGGGAAGATGGATTACACAAAATGTTTTGACAGAATCTCCAGGTCCCATGCAGTATGAAAAAAAAAGCAGTGCTTTTCATTTATTAATTGATATACTAATGTTACACAACATTCAACAATATACTAAAGCAGAGGAGCAGGGGAACAGAATAATGAGCCCTCTGAAACACCTGTGGGGGAATCACAAGAGTATATTGCATTATTGTCTTTTCATTGTGCCTTTTGATCTGTGCAATGGGGAATTTCTTTTTTACAGAGACAATGTCCTGGAGATGGAATGCTAACTTCAAGGACAGTTTTACTGTCTCTCTTATTGATGTATTCTAATTATTTCTTTTGTATTATTGTTTTTATTTATTTTTTGTGAGCAACCACCTTTCCACATCTGGCTCTAGACAGCAAAAGGTGGTAAAGATGTGAGATGTTGTGGGCTAGAGCATTCACATCTGCTCCTTTTGTTTTCATTCTAAGCATGTGAGGCTGGCAAAATTCAGATTAAACTGGATAGGTGGTGTACCCCAATGTAATTTGGAGCTTACTTCCGCCGGTGCCTCAAAAAACCAGGGCTCATTACATAATGACCTACTTTATGATTTGTGCACCAATATCAGATATTTGCTTTGTGGCTGCATTTTGTTTTCTTCTCTATAAGATTATTATTTGTTTTTTATATATTTTTCTCTATATATAATTAAATTTAATTATAT